TATTCCTGTCTTCGCAGACTGTGAATGAGAAGTTTGTATGTTGTCATGTTAAAAATAAGACCAACTTTTACAAAAAGGATTATTTAGAAAGAATACAGTTGCACACTAGTTAGGGAATCTTCTTAATTGTATAACCGATACCATCCAGATTTATTAACAAAAACAGTTGTAAAGAGTTTTCACTTACTTCAATGATTTTCAGGGGTGCAGGATAGAGTCCCTTGCTCTGCTTCATCACTTTCCCGTGAACAGTTTTGTAAATCTGGTTCCGCACAAACTCAAAGCTCATAACGTAGTCTTGAACTTCTATAGAGAAAGAACATAAACTCGTTATTGTAGTGCACATAACTAACAAGTAAATCAAACTAAAGTGACTACAACGGGTTAAATGCTCAATTCACAGCACAACTTACTGTCCATAGTGCCTTTCTTTTTGCTCAGAGGAATAGTCTTGTTGACGATCCCTCTGGCACATTCAATGGCAACTTCCTCAAGGTAGTCCATCGTTCTCTCCTCAGGACTCTTCAGCCCAGGTCCTACAATAGGAGCACACATATCAAAATAATCAGTTAAACAATTTATTATTTTATCATTGGTGGCAGTGGCTCAGTCAGTAGGGGCTTGGACTGGGAGCCGTAGGGTCGCTGGTTCAAGTCCCCGACCAGACCTAAATATGGAGTGCGGACTTCTACTTGGAGAGGTCCCAGTTCACCTCCTGCCCTGCCGTGGTGCCCTTGAGCAAGGCACCGGACACCCCCCTTCCCCCCCACTCCCATTGCTCCCCGGGCGCTGTACAATAGCTGCCCACTGCTCCTAGTACTAGACTCCTTGTACTAGGATGGGTTAAAAGCAGAGGCCAAATTTCACTGTGTGTGCTGTGTGCTCTGCATGTGTGACCATTAAAAGAGGGTTTCATCCCTCCCTATTCTTCTCATTGGTGCTACTGTAAGTCAAATACTCAAGCATTGTTAAATACACTGAATGGTGAATTCATGGATTTTAAAAACTAAAGACAGCTCACCTAGTGGGTCTACGAGTTGGTGGACGAGGCCCATCTTCTTTGCTTTATCCGCTCTGATATTCTCCCTGTCAGCATCATGTCAAAGGCATTGGGTAGACCAACCTACAGGTAAAAGAGGATGTATCAACAATATTGAATGTGATGTTCTGTGATTAAACAGAGATCAGTAATAATCCTGCAGTTTGAAGGACAGGAAATACTTGACATGGTGGGCTTGGGGGAATAATCTGTTTCCTGGTTTGCAGGATCTTCAGGCTGCACGTAAACATTTTAAACCAATTATGAGCAATAACCAGTTTGTTTTACTTTACAGCCCAGCCATTTCAGGTTTTGTACTGAAAACAAGAATCTATAACAATTATAGCGCACCTTCTCAACCATGGTTTGCATCATCCCGCATACTGTATAGTTTGTGTACTTAAATAAAGCAGGACAGTTAGGTAAATAGTATTTCCAGTTCTTACCATTTTGGGGAGTCTCTGAGTGCCGCCAGCTCCAGGCAGAAGACCCAGCATCACCTCAGGAGTACCCAGAATGGTTTTCTTGCTCTTTGTTGCAATTCTGTACTGGCAGGCGATGGCAAACTGAAATGCATAAAGATCCCATTATAAAAACACATTTCTATCAGCCATCATCGTCAAATAATTATGATATAGTCTAACATAGTTTCTCTCTGAAATAGTTTCTGTTTACCTCCAAGCCTCCGCCTAAGCAAGAGCCGTTGATGGCAGCCACAATGGGTATAGGCGATTTCTCGATCATGTTGAACATCTTCTGCCCTTCCTGAGAAAGTGCTGTGACCTCCTCTGCACTTTTACAGGCCGAAATCATACTGAAAGAGATGTTAAGTATATCACAAACAAATACAAAGCATTTCCATTGTGTTAATTCCTTGTAATATAATTTTAAAACATCCTAATTCAGGCTATGCATAATATACATGTGTTGTGTTTTAGCAAAAACAGTTTATTTTCAGAATGGTCGCACTTAAATATTGAGTTAATTGGTTAACTGTGTAATAACAATCAAAATGTTATATGGCGGTGGATTAAAAGAGATTTTCTCTTACTTGATATCAGCTCCTGCAATGAAGCACCCTGGCTTTGAGGAGATGAGTACAGCACTTTTAACATCATTGTTGGCCCACACTTCTTGCATTACTTCTCCCATCTCCTTTTGCATTTGGATGGACAGTGTGTTGACCTGCAGGGAAGAGAAGATGACCATTAGGTCCACATTACACCTGCATAGTTCTGATTAATGTCACATACATTTTCAATGAGAGCACACCTTGGAGTTTGGGTCGTTGATCCGTACAACAGCCACATCGTCCTTGACTTCATAGCTCACATGGGTCCGGGCTAAAAATAGATAAGGGAGATATAGTACAGTGAAAAAATAATACTGTCACTGAACAGGACAAGGTGCCCTTTTCCCCATATACTGTACAAATGTAAACTTCTGTAATTACCTAGCATTGCAGGAGCTACTGAGAAGGTGCGAGATGTACCACCTGTAAAAAATGACAATAAGCAATACATTACTAGTCATCGAACCTGCTTTACCCTTACTATGTAAAGAAACACACATCATTAAACCCTAAACACTGTATATAAAGATACTGCCTTCGTACAACATTAATATGACAAGTTTATGAGACGTTCACATGATATTTGGCCATGACCTCAGACCAATTTGTGTCACCTAGTGCAAAAATGACCTTTCACCTACATTATCCGCCTACCAGGCATTCACAGACAGAGCCGACACAATGGCGAATGGCACAAGTTTGTATATCCCCGTCTACACTTTCCTGGGAGGGACAACTTAATTTAAAAATAACAAGCAGTCTGAATTCAAACGTACATGTTTAACCAGATACATAACCTATTCCGTAGCAGCCTGCTAACATTAGCACGCACAGATGGCAGGTTTTAACTCAAGTTTGCTAATTAAAACTAAAAAGTTCCACCTACAAAAAAGACTCTGGTTGAACTTTTTTGAAATATATGTTTGTTGTCAATAAAAACAGTGTTGAATGAAGCACCCCACCACTCACATTCTCCAGAGCTAACAGCTAATCCAACAGGCTAATTACCCACACACACAGCACTTAGCAACCCCAGTAGTTTCAGTGTCATTCTCCGCATTGATTCTCTTAAATGTATAAATATGAAATACATTTAGTTTCTACCTGTGAAGAGAGCGTATCTCCTTGATGGGAATCTAGCAAGAACACCAAGGGCTCGAACACCAGCCATCTTGGGGGAGCGGAGGTCAGTGAGAGGTCAGGAGAGTGAGGCAAAGTGAGGCTAACTAGCTCGCTGTCAAACCACTGAGGAAGCAAGCCCGGCGGAGTTTGTGGCAACTTCCTGAAAACCGTCAAACAGAATCAGAAGCTGATTGGTTCTTACTGAAAATACCCAAATTGCCATTGGCTGACTCTGAAGAGCTCGTATCGTCATTGGGAACGTCCTGGGGCTACAAAACGCCTCCTAACTCTGTCACTGACACTGACCAAAGTTCTCATCGACTGACGAGTCACGACTGTAGTTGTTTTTGCTTGTAAATCAACGATTGCCAATCAAATAATTATATCTTTTATTTTATATTTAGGAAGTGTATGACATATAACACATTTGTACCTAAAGCATTGTACAACAATTACAACTGTTATACCACATGAGAGTAATGGCAACATGGCGCCACAAGGTGGAGGTAGAAATCCGTTTAAAAGAATTACAATTTTGCTCAAGAATAAAAAAACTACTTTTCACATATCTGACAAAAACCGGAACTATCCTTCAGGGGTAAAAAATACAGGTTGTAAAAGACCTGTTTCTCAACTATAGAACAACAATTCTGAACGTTTCTGCAACTACAGGGTTTAGATAAAGATAGCCATATATAAATCAAGCAAATGCAGTAATTTACAGTCAATACCGTTTATACTGTACATATTCATCTGTTTATAGCCTATTTATAATTATTCTTATTATGTAGACACCTGCACTGCTATTTTTGCACTTCTGGTCAGATGCCAAACTCTCATTTCGTCACTAGTAGGGCCTACTTGCACTATGTAATGACAATAAAGTTGAATCTGAATCTGAATCTGAATCTGAATCTGAATCTGAATCTAATAAACAGACTGACTGCACAGTTTTCAAAAATAGAAAGATCATTCATTCATGACGATCTGTCAACAGATATTGCACTTTTTACTTCACAACATCGATTTAAATAGCTCTAGTTTCCAACTACTTTACAAATCTAGCCTAATTTATTAATACAATTAAAAACATCAATTATGATCTTACCATCTACATAATTTACACATTACTGCAAGAATAACTATAACCCAGTGATATGATTAACATTATTCTTCAAGGGGCCCTCCAAGTTAAAGTGAAAGTTCTTATTATTTCATATGAAGAAGCAATGAAAATAAAAATCCCCTACGACAACACTTATGCATATGTGTATTAATGAAAATATTGCAGTTAAAACAAAATGAGAATCTGAACATAAAATAATGCAAGTTAGAGATACAATATACTATACATAAAATGTAAAAAAAAGTAATTTGCGAGTCATAAACATGACAGCTAATTATTATTCCAGGGTATGTCTAATGAGATATTGTACTTACTCTAAATTGATTGTTGCTAATACAAAGTATTGTTACTTCAGATATTTAATTAAGGACTTTTCTTGGGACAGTACTTTGATTTATGTAAATAACTGACTTATTATTCTTCCTCAAATGACTGTTCCCAACTTGGAAGTAAGTTTAATGAGGCAATTATTAACTAAACGCACCTCAAAATTCTTCACTTCTGACCTCTTACATGAGCGTGAAACGAGGGACAAGTGAAGGCATCACCAGCTTTTGAGGAAGGCGGGATGAGTTGTAGCTTACACGAAAAGAGCCAATCAGAGGTCAGATTTCCACATAGCAACCCCAATCAGCGCAGAGGGAATGTCTGGTTGCGAAGGTAGTGGCAGTTGTGGTGTGCTGCTGGAAGAAGCAAGTGTTTTCACTGGGCTTGTTTGCTGCTAGTTTAGTAGCAACATTTTTGCCCATACATCTGTTAAGTTTGGCGCCTAACTAACAGGCGTGTTACTCTCTCGCTTAATAATTATGCTCTCCGCATGTTAATATTGCAAACTAGCTTGCGAGGTGAACGTAACCTTGTCTGAAAAGCATCTTTGAATATAATTGGAACATACGATGCCATCCCCGATGGAGGGATCTTCAGAGAAGGTGACCTCTTTACTTCTGTGAAACATGAGCTGAAAAATGGTAAGTTTAACTTCAAACGCAGTCAGATTTATTGCTGGTTATCTTTAGTAGACACGTGTCCGGGGGGAAATGTTAGCTGGCTAGCTGTGAAGAGCTGTCACTGTCAGTGGGCATTTGTACTGAGCGCGACCGTTAAGTCCCGAACATGGCAGAGGAAGGCTAACGTTAGCTGCACTTATTACTGAGGCTGCTGCTGTCTCACGCAAACAAACGTTACCTAACCATCTCACTAGCTAGTTTATAACGCTGCCAAGGAAAGAACATTAGCTTCAGCTACTAATTAACGTGTTACCTAGGCTAAATAAGACCATTGACAGAGATTGTAAGTAGATAATGCCTGTCAACGCCTTAACTTAAAGTCAATAGCCATTTAATTGAGTTGGTTTGTTGTCACTGCCCGGTCGGAGCAGACTCAGCTGCAGTGCTGCCAAGTGTCAGGAGTACATGTTAGCTTGGTTTCATTCTGCAGTTATACATGTGCAGTGGTGTAAAGTAACTAAGTAGATTTACTCAACTACTGTACTTAAGTTACATTTTTGAGGGACTTGTAATTTACTTGAGTATTTCAAATAGTGTACTTTTACTCCACTACATTTATTTTTATACTTAAATTACTTTTGCAGATTTGGATTTGGAGTAAATCCACAAGCTACCTTACACTATTGGAAGGAATTATAATAAGCTTCACCTTTACCAGCTGTGAGAAACACACTGCTGCATCCATACAAATATATAATTTTGAAATCAGCAAATCTGCATCTGAGTACTTACTTTAATTGAGCTACTTTTATTATATTGTGATGCTAATGATTTTGTCCCTTTACCTACGTAAGATTTTGATCGAGGACTTTTACTTCTAACAGAGTATTCCTGATCTCTGGTAGTTCTACTTAGTACAAGAGTACTTCTTCCACCTCTGATTACCAGATGTAAATTATGTGGTTCTGTAGTTATTGCCAGGTCTGTTAGCTAACTTCTCTTATCCAACAAAGAAACAGACACAGCTGCAGTGGCTGCAAGTATCAGGAGTAAAATGTTGGCTTGTTTTCATTCTGCACATTATAACATGTGTGTACATCAAGAGTCACATTAGACACTGTATGTTCTGGTAGACTGGTGCATTGCTTTGACTCTTGGCTAGCCTTGTTAAATGCCTAACATCCACCCTCAAGCTAAAACTGTCACGGTAGTGCTGAATCCTACTGGCTTTTGTTGCAATATTTAGACTGAATGATAGTAAGGTTGTGGGGTGATGTACATACAGTACAGCATCTCAAGAACGTCAACAGGAATACAGTTTAAAGTTACACATAGTGCATTTGAATGTGATTTTGAATAGAGTGGCTTCAATTGCAGAGGGCTGCTGAATGAAGTTGGAAACTGGCTAAGCTTGCAGACTGGATTATAATGGACACGGTGCTGCTGTTCAGGCTGCAACATGGACTATGCTGCACTCCCATCACTGCCCTGCCCTAAAATATGCAGTCAGTCAGTTTTTTGGAGGGAAATTGCACACATGTGAGCAGCTGTATTACCCTCTGCATTGGACCCTGCTGTAACAATCTGACCTAGTTTTGACAATACAGTAAAAATAAAAAAGATTTAAAAAAAGACCTACTTAGTCCATTCAATTAGTCAGAAATTGATTGGCAACGACAATCCTTTATTCGTTTGAGTCTTTTTTTCAATCAGAAAGGAGTAAAAACAATTCCAATATTCTCTGATTCCCAGCTTGGTTTCTCTTGCCATAATTGTAAACTTAATATGTTGTAGGTATTTTGAATCGAACAAACCAAGACATATGAAGACAGGTTTGGATTTGTGAAGTTGTGATGGCCATTCAGTTCACGTTTCCTTGAGTAAACAATCAGTAATTAATCAAACAAGGATCAGCAAATTGTTAATAATGTGTCCAATAATGGAAAATATTTGGTAGTTCCAGCCTCAGACAGAATATTACTTTTGCGAAACAACCTAGGGTCAATTTTGTTGAAATTCGATGGCCTGCTTTTAAGTTTGATCATTTATGTAGGATTTAATTTAAGGAAAGTGTTTTCTTCAGAGGAACTTAAGCATTTCTGTCGCCGCAGACTGCAGAGATTCTGCTTGTCTCATAGTAAGGAATCATCTGGTTCAACACCTCTGTCAGTCTATTAATAAACACCTAAACTCAAATTGGGCCATGGCAGATGAGCTTGACAAGGCTGTTATGCAACCTGAACCCCTGACCTCAGATTCGAAGGACAGCGTTGTTGTTTTGAGACGATACAGTATGCACCAGTGTCTAATAATTGCACCTTTACTTCTGTGTGTGCCTGGAGAAGCAGCAGAAAAAGATGAATCAAGACCGCTGAAATATGCTAAGTAGCCTATTTTCAGACGTATGAGACAGAATGAATGTTGTCACTACAATGGACACGCTTGTGTGAGAGCGTGCGATTCTCAGTCAGCTGTACTGGGAGACCATGATTGAGAAAGACAGGAGGAGTCACAGTGTTGGCTGACTTTACTAAAGATCCCTGATGGAAGATAATGACCTTTTGCTGGTTAATGTAGCAAGTATATTTGCTGTGGCATGGAAGATAATCTCATCCTGGCATCGGTGTTTTACATGAAGCAACTTTGCATGTGTCTTCATTATTTGCACAATTAAACAAATTCACCTGTTTTGACTTTCCCAGGCTGCTGCTGTTTTGCTATGCGTTCATTGACAACAAAACAGACTTTTATGGCTTTATCAGTGTTCAAGTCGCTGGTCCTTAAATTTAAAGCCCACTTTTACAAACCTTTAGCTCAGCAGAATTTGCTTTTTTTCGCCATAAAAGCGGCATGACTGAGAGTGTTTTTGTATTCAAAATGAAATCTAAGAATACGGTATGTATAACGTGGGCACCACTTACAAAATAGAAAGACTGTAAGGTGATGCAATGCGTTCTCTGGTGCAGCTTTTGGCAACTTATTAGAACAGCTGGATCAGATTACAATTTATTTACAACTTGGCCGCATCAACCGTATTCTTTAGACATGAGATGTGAGAATTTCTTGACTAATTTTATCAATGAAATGTTTTGTTAGTGAAAGGCTTGGTAGGTCAGGCCTCAGTTGTCTTAATGTGGGACAAATTACGTAAGTGGGAGTGTGGACTACAAAGAGAATTGAATATAAATATACATTTTCCTGTCTCAGCTGAAAGAAATCCTAATTTGGAAAGTATTTATGTTTTTCTTTGCTAGCGACTCAATCATTGTGTGTCTTTTTGTACACATAAAATATTAATGGACATCAGACCCCTAAGGGACTCTCTACTCTATCTACTCTAATGATTTCTAACAACAAAATGTAACATGACATTTGTTATTGAATTTTCTACAGTACTTTATAATTCAAGCCACTTTTGTTTTGTAACATGAAATAAATGGTTATATCTGATTCTAATACTTTACGTCTGCTCTGACTTCAGCCAACCTGACGGGCCACGTAGAGAGAGTGGGCATTGAAAACTTGAGCTGTTGAAGGTGCTTGGCACAGGAGGTGAGTAACATGTTAAACTGTGTGTTGACCACAATGTGACATTTACATGATAGTGTTCATGCCATGTGTTTTCTAGATTGATCAGCATGTCATAGCATTCATTCCTGCCTTTTTGCACTGACCTTTGCTCTCTGTCTTTGTTTATTTTAACCACCAGCATATGGCAAGGTGTTCCTGGTGAGGAAAGTGAGTGGCCATGATGCAGGGAAGCTGTATGCCATGAAGGTTTTGAAGAAGCCACAATTGTACAAAAGGCAAAGACTGCTGAACACACACGCACGGAGCGGCAGGTGCTCGAACACATCCGCCAGTCTCCGTTCCTTGTCACACTTCACTATGCCTTCCAGACGGATACCAAGCTGCACCTCATTCTTGGTTAGACTTTCTTAATAGGAAACTGCCTTCTGTGTTATGTTTATCAAGAAAAATAAAAGGTTAATGATTGTCTTTAATAAAAGTTTTTTTTAACAACTGAATGAATTAGTATAATGAGTATTTGCTCTTTCCTAACAGAGCCATATTATTTGATGGAAACATGACATGCATGATATCATCTCTTTTTGAATAGATTATGTAATGGTGGAGAGCTCTTCACAACATTTGGTGCAAAGGGTGCGATTTAAGGGAACAAGAAGTTGCCCTGTACAGTGGAGAGATTGTGTCAGCGCTGGAACATCTACATGAGGTAATTCATAGATTCTACACAACCAAGGCCTCTTGTATGTTCAGGACTTATCTATTGATGGTTACACTTACCCTTCTGTCGTTTTATTATTGCAGCTTGGCATTGTCTACCGGGACCTAAAACTTGAGAATATTCTGCTGGATTCAAGTGGACATATAGTTCTCACAGACTTTGGCCTCAGTAAGGGAATTTGATCAGGTACAGTACATACAAATACCCATTCATTCCATAAACTGATGACCCAAAGAGAACAGAAGAAGCAGATTCTCTCCTAAACTCTTTTAACATTAATATATATATTTCCCCAAACTTTCATTAATTTTTGCTCATGTAGTCAAGGATTATAATGGTTCCCTGTTGAAAAGTCCTTAAAAAAAACGAATAAAAGTGATGTTTTTCATTCAGTTTTTTATCACCAAACGATATTAATTATATCCTTGAGATCAAACAAATGTGATGAATCCATGTCCTTCCTCATAAAACACATTTTTCTTTAAAATACGTCAGATGTAAATCAAGTTTTTCAGGGTCTTCAATCTTGAACTGTTGTCAGACAGTCCACTCCATTTTCAATAAAACCAAGTTTTTTTGTTATATTTTTAAAATGAGTATTTTTTTTTGTGCATTTGTGAACACAGATGGAAAAGAGCGTTTTCTGTCTGTGGCACCATTGAATATATGGCTCCAGAAATAGTGGAAGGTGGAGAGTCTGGACATGACAAGGTAAGATGTAGTTTTATGTTTCATGTTGTCGTCTGTTTATCAAAAGAAGCAGCCTAAATTCTCCTCTCTGTATTCCTGGATGTGTGCCCTGCAGTGAGGTGTTTCTTTTAGCGTGTTAAGCTTAAGTCACGGGTGGTTTGCTTTCATTCATTCCAGGCGGTGGACTGGTGGAGTCTCGGCGTTTTGATGTACGAGCTTCTGACTGGCGGATCCCCCCTTCACCGTGGATGGAGATGAGAACTCGCACACAGACATCGCCAAGTATGGGTTTCTCCCTGATCATCAGCCACAGTTTTCATCTAGCCTTTAATTATAATCACTGACCATGTCTGTCTCACACATCACAGGAGGATTTCAAAAAAGGATCCTCCTTTCCCCAAAGATATGGGACCTCTGGCCAAAGACCTCATCCAGCGACTCCTCATCAAAGACCCCAAAAAGAGATTGGGCTCAGGCCCTAAAGGAGCGGAGAATGTAAAAAAACACCCATTTTACCAGGTGGGTCTCATTGCTTGTCTTGAATATTTCATAATATAAAAAAAAGCTATGTAACAGAGTGGGCTGGTAATCTACATAATGGGGCTGCTTTAAAAGTGCACCTATCATGCTATTTTTAGGCAATAGCATCGGTCTCAGATATATACAAATATATAAAAAACATGTCTATCAAGTGTTTTGCTCAAAATACCAAACAGATCACCCATTCTAGCCATGCCTCATATCCCTCTATTTCACTTCCTGTTTCAAAAGTGCTGATTTGGGGTATAAAGCTTAAAAAAATTAATGTGATAAAGAAAAAAAAAAAGAGGAGAGGGCTGAGCTCATGCGGGACCCCTATTGTCGAAACTAAATACTGCGGTGATGAAACGCCATATCATGGATTATCAAGGATTATTTCTGAAACAGTATGGAGCTCAAAGGCTTTCTCTCTTGCCGGTTATACCACAAGGTGAGCTCCTTTTTATATCCAGCTTCTTCACACACATGCTCTCCAGTACAGGTTAGCTCTGAGTGTAGCGATGCTAATGTAAACACCGACCATATTACGTCCAAAACAGTCGGGCATTGTTTCTGATAGCAACGTTTCTGATAGGGCCGTGGGGTGTAAAGCCAGCCTACATTTCCGATATTACGTCATATCGGACGCAAATCTGGATCAGCTCCGTTGTAGCCCCGTTTTTAGAGATTTGGGTACGGAGGAAAAGAGAGGGTTTTATTTTCTGACACTTTGTGAGTTCCCTGACACACCGGGGACACATATTTATGTATACTGTAAAAGACATCCAAAAGTGCATTTTGCATGATAGGTCCCCTTTTAAGTGAGGAGCATTTAGAAAACTGTTTGTTTAAGCTGCGTTAATAAGGGATAGCGATCAACCAAAATGTATTTTTTCCAAACTCATTTTAGAAAATTAACTGGGAGGACTTGGCAGCTAAGAAGGTTCCCGCCCCGTTCAAGCCAGTGATTCGGGACGAGCTGGACGTCAGCAACTTTGCCGAAGAGTTCACGGAGATGGACCCCACCTACTCTCCTGCAGCTCTGCCTCAGAACTGCGATCGCATCTTCCAGGTAGGGAGAGCGTTACAGGATGTTGGACAACCAGACTATTTTTTGTTGTGACTCATTGTTTTGTTAGCACACATACTCATTCCTCTGTGTTCTTTACAGGTCACTGCACAGGACAACATTTGTTTTTGCATTTGCTCTGTGCTCATGTTTATCTGGGCTTTGGTTGCAGGCAGTGTGAAATGTTGACACGGATGAAAAAATGCATTATACATTATCCACTTTTTGTCTGTGACTATATTTGACATACTCCAGCGCAATTGAAGTAATCAAGTGAAGTTTTGAATGTCCTCAAAAGGTTGCTGTAAGTCAACATGAGACTGTCTGTGTGCACTGGTATTCAAATTGACTAAAGAGGCTTTTATTGAGGTAATTGCTGCCATATGCAGCTCTTATTGAAGTAACAGATGTGAATGACTATTTTTGATGTAGCTTTGAACCATAATATGGCCCACAACTCTATGCCAGCTGATGGCTGTCTGATGTATTGCATGAAATTTCAACTCTGATTGCCTTCTGGATCCTTGAGCTGGGTAGATCAATAGATCCATTAACGGGCTTCTCTCGTGGAATAAAAGGTTACACTTTGAGAGCATCACCACGTCTGTCTCGGTTACGCCTTCAGTCTTTGATTGCCAACTTCATCTTGGCTTTTTTCGCACTCAGCTGCCATTCACATAGTCTGAAATTTTGTGGTCTTTATAATTTGCAAGCCTAGCAATCTCTCAGATAACGACAGCAATCCCAATTTTAAACTGTGCACTTGCTCCCCCACGGTGCCTCACAAAACAAAATTAAAATTGCATTAAGAGCGCCAAGATGTAATTTCACAGCAGAGCAATCAAATATTCAAGCCCGGCAATTTAGGGCATCTCATTCATTCACCACCCATCCTTCCGTCCATCTATTGCTGTCACTACATACCACACAGCTGTGTGTGTGTCGGGGGAAAAGGGAGAGAGAGAGATTAATGCCAGCTAAAAGCTTTGGGCTCCCCACAGCTGGAATTAGGCAGGCAGCGCCTCCACAATGACAGCTCTGACAATAGGAACAGCTGGACAGCCGCTGCCACTCACTGTGGAGCTGACAGGCTGCTCCGACTTAAAGACTTGAGGAAAGATGCAAAACTATTTTAAGTTTTACAGTAAATACGCAAATACAAAAAATACATGTGTCTAAAAGTAGTGTTTGATTTCCATTCAAACCTGATACAATTTTACAAAGTAAATGTGATTTGAAATGTATTTCATATTCATTCTCTTATAATTGTTTACCCAAGATCTTCCTCTATTTTTTGTAAAAAGAAAATGAGAAAAATAAATTAGGTAAAAACTAAACACCAAAATATAGTTGACATTTTGTTCTACCTTGTCATTAGTGCTTTCACAGGGTGTCCGCGGGGTCTAAAAAGTATTAAAAGTTGATGAATCAATTTAGCGAAAATGAAGGGCTATTAAAAAGTATTAAACGGCATTTTCCAAGGTATTACATTTTGTAGCTTGTTTTTCAAAAAGTATCTAAATCGTCCAAAGAGGTTGTATTCTACAGTTTGCCTGAATGTAATCATTGCGTAGGTGTGTAGTGTGATTCTTTGTAGTTTATTTATGGCATCCCGTTGGATTTGACGTCATCTGAACAGGACATCGCACGCTCACGGCTTGATAGCGCGCGAAGCTCCGTTTACGCCGGTTGTTAAACAACATCGTTATGGGGAAATGCAAGTTTGCGTCCAAATGGTTGGAAGATAAGGAGGAAGGACAATCCATACTGTATATAGTCAATGTGAGGTAAAGTGTGTCGCCAATGTAACTGGTTAAAACTCAAAGTGGCGATGAGGTCTTAAAATGTATGGAAAGGGGTCTTCAAAGGTATTACATTTGACTTCAGGATTCCTGCATATACCCTGTTTATCATTTCAAGTAAAAATACAATGAAAAGACTCTATAAATGTCTGTTATACATTAGATAAAGTTTAATCAGGCTCTTACTGAGGCTGCAGAACTGGATGTACTTTTCTCTCTGTCCTTATAGTCCTTCCCTCACTTTACAATGTAAACACGTAGACTTCATGTGTTTCTGTGCAGGGCTACTCCTTCATGGCCCCCTCCATCCTGTTTAAGAGGAATGTGGTGATGGACGACCATCTCCAGCTGTGTGGGGGCTCCGAGAGGCCCCGCTCTGCCGCGGTGGCCCGCAGCGCCATGATGAAGGTGAGACGGATGGACTTGGATCCTCCAGCACAAACACACTTAGGCTAATGGCTGCTGTCACAGACACGTGAGATTTTTTTCCCCCCTATCTTCTCCATTTCACTCAAACTTGTGTTCCTCACAAATGTTTAGATTCAGTTGCCAGGCATGATCCTGTTTATTTAATTATGTTTATCAGTGAATACACTGGTGTATCTGTCCAGCGTAATGTTTTCTGAGAGGCAGCTGTGCGTTGTTGTTTTGTGGGCTCACTAGGTTTCAAGCGTTTTCATCAACGTTCTGAGTAGCTGCTGCAAACTTTGCTGTTTTCAAGATTTATTACCAGATTTGTTACATTGGTGATGGGAACTACTATTAATCATTCTAATGATTTTCAGTCCAGCCCCAAAAGGTGCAATGTTTAATTAATCAACAAAATTCTAGACATATCAAATAGAATTTCCATGACTAATAGCCTACTCCCTTTTTTGGTGCTTACTCACTTCAGAAAGGGGAAGTTTAAGACGAGCAGTCGGGCAACTGTATGCTTCCAACTCCATAAAGCCTCAGCTCACCGTGCTAAACAGGATTTTGTGCGATTTTCTCTCTCAGGAACAGGAAGCCAGTCAACAGTTTCCTATCTTGTCTTTAAGTGATCTCTCATATTGTATCACAGATCTAGAAAATCTACATTTGCTACTTCCAGGTGTTTTGCAGATGCCTTTGAAAACATTGCACAACAAGAGAAATGTGCTTGGTTCCTCATTGTTTTGCATACGCATTTTATAATCACATAGAATAAGCAATACTTGTGTCTGGCTGTTGGCACTTATTATTGAATTAGGTTGCATATTTAATATAAATACCGTAAATAAGACTCCTTAGACTTCAATTTGAGAACACATGAGAGAGGACTTGTATGCCTCGCCCACATGAATTGTGTTTTTTCGTGGAGAACAAGACAACATAGGATCTCTAAAGAAGAAGTTCAAAGAACATGATCTGTTGTGTTTGGTAGCAGTAGTTACAGTATTTTGTAAGAAAAGATTAAAAAACAGCTGTCGGGCTTCAAATATATTGCACAATATCTGCACATGATCATAGGAAAAGCAGTGTACAAAACATTTAATTAAACAGAAAGAACTTAGTCTCATACTATTTTTTTAATATATTTGACCAAATGCTTTCCTGTCCACTGTCTTCAGGACTCTCCTTTCTACATGAACTATGAGATGGACCTGAAGGACAGCGCTTTGGGAGAGGGAAGCTTCTCCATCTGCAGGCGGTGCACACACAAGAAGACCGGACAGAAATACGCAGTCAAGATTGTCAGCAAGAGGTACAAACTCACATCCTGCTCTCCTCAGATGTGTTTGTCAACTCTGATGCTTCTGGCTGTGTGATGTTCATGCTCGGCTCCCTCTTTCTCTCACTTAGTAAATTCTCAGCCAAATCATACACAAAACATAAAATAGGTATGTTATCTTAAAACCTATGAATACAAAAAAAATCCGAATTTGACTCAATTTCAACATGTATCAGATTGTATTTGCTCTATTACTCTGTTAAGGGTTGCTAGATGTGGGTTAATTAAATGTAAATACATCTGTTCTCACAAACAAACTGTTACAAAACAAGCTTTGATCGTGTGTGTGGACTGCAGTCCTACACTACACTCCTCCACTGAGTGTGTGGCACCAAATATTATAGCTATAATAAGAAAGCACAAACAAATATTATGTTCCTGAAGACTTGTTCACACTTTTCTATCAGCACCCTATTGTTTCCTAACTATTTGTTAGTTGTAGTTTGTGCATGTCACGGTAAATAAAATCAGCAAAGCCAAACTGCACGTACAAATTCACGTTTGCTACTTATAGAGGAATATAAAAAGGGGCGATCCTCTATGAATTATGGGATCAAACTGGGCATTAGAGAATGACAACCTACTGTCAAAAGATTATATTTGACAAAGTAGAAAATGAATGGGTGATATTCTGTCCCCTTTTTAAATCCTACTTTTGCACATTATTTTTACAGGCACACTTAATATAATAATTATTAAAACTGCAGAGTGGCTTGTGGCAATTAAAAAAAACCTATAAAAGGAAACAGAACTGGGCCACGTTCTCACTCTACTGTGTATGTGTGTATTTATGTTGTATTCTGTGACAGTTCTCTGGCTTCCTGCTTGTGTTTGCTGCAGGATGGAGGCGCAGACTCAGCGGGAAATAGCAGCCCTGAAGCTCTGCGACGGCCACCCTAACATAGTCAAGCTACATGAAATCTACCACGACCAGGTAATCTTAGCTGATACATTTACACAGCCATAAATTCTGTTTTGCATGGCTCTCTGTGGAGCCCTTAATAAGTCCTGGAACCGGAACGAGGCAGATTAATAGGGAGGTCTATCTTTATCTCTCCTTTGTATTGTCCCATAAACATTTCTCCGTGTGCCCGATATTTCACACCAAACGTATTTATAAACTGCAGCTGGACAGTCCCCCATTCACACCGCTGAATAGAAACAACCTAGATTTACTTGTGTTGCTAATCGAGCCGTACACTCCAACCAAACTAAGTGTGTTGCAAATGTAGCTCACCCGGGTTATTGGGAAGGTGGACCGTGTGGCTGACTGTGTACAGGTTCATTATCCCCGCTCCTTCAAACCCAGGAGCACCACTTTAGTCCTGATGAGCTCAGTGGGGTTATTACTGTACCTCGGAGGCCTGTGACCCAGATCAAAGCCTCGCCTCAACGCAGTCCTGCCTTTGTTCCCCAGACTGAGCGCTAATGAGAAACTCTGCCCCAACGCCCAGACACATTATTCCCTTCCCACTTTGTTTGGCCCCTTTCACTTTCACTCAATGCTATCGTTTGATTTCACCATCATGGCATCAAGGATGGGCTGTTTTGCTTTTATTTATTATGCAACAAAAAGTTCTCATCCATCATTTCACATGTTAAGATTTCATTGTGCAGCAAGCTGTGAAAGCAAGATTGAAAATATATATATATAAAAAAAACACACAAAAATAGTTAGGATGGTTTGTTCTACTTTAGACAGGGTTCTTACGGTCATTAAAAACCTGGAAAAGTCATGGAAATTCAAAATGCTAATTCCAGGCCCTGGAAAAGTTATGGAAAACAATATTTTCCCCAAAGTTTTGGAAAAATCATGGAAATGTGACTAAAGTTGCATCAAATATAATCTATATTTATCTAATCGCCGAAATAGTAATACTATAATGATAATAAATACTGTATCGTATAGTAAAGAAAACGTAAAATGGCATTTAACTGACGAGGTATTTTGCTGGTGAGAGATTTTAGTTGCTTTATCCTGTAGAAGCTAGTAAGCCTACTATTTGATTTGTTTTAGATAGGCACAACATGTTTCATATGCAGACCTGATTTTCCTGTTCCATGTTAAAATAAACAATTTTCAGTGGTATCGCTGAGAGAGTAGTTTTTTTGGTCATGGAATATTAGGTAAAGGTCATGGAGAAGTCATTGAAAAAAGTGTATGAACCCTGTTTAGAGCATCTTCAAAGAATAAAGGTTGTACATTTATTTTAAATGTTTTGTGTGTGTGTTTTCTCTGCAGCTCCACACGTTCCTGGTTCTGGAGCTGCTGGGTGGAGGCGAGCTGCTGGAGAGGATCCGCAGGAAGCAACACTTCAGCGAGACAGAGGCGAGCCGCATCATGAGGAAACTGGTGTCTGCCGTCAGTCACATGCACGACGTAGGAGTGGTGCACAGGGACCTCAAACCGGAGGTATTGGATCAGTGCTTTTTCAGCCACTTTTATAAATTCTCTCCATTCTCTAATCGCATTTCTGTGTTTAACTAACTTTTTTTATGTATATAAATATATATATATATATATATATTTTTAAGATTATCTTTCGATCCCGTTTGAATTGTGCCACGAATTACACATATGATGTTTGTCAATTTAAAAGATAATTTTACAAGTCAAAAAAAAAAAAGTGTCGTAAAACTGTGAAGTAACACTTTTTTGTGTGAAACCGCTCAATGAGCTACATCTCCCGTCTCGCACCACACACCAAGACGGCCGTCACGTTGGCACATTTCTCTTCTTTCTTTCAGAATGAGGCGAAAAGTATTAAACGAGGTGAAAATCACTCCAAGTCTGTGCATATTGAGAGCTGTACATACACACAAGGGGAGTTAGTCGGTTCCGTAAGAGCCAGCATGCGGGACCGGGATTCTGGGATTTGTAGTCTTTCTAGTTGCGTATTTTTCATAGTCTTATATTTCAAAAATTTTACGACAAACTGTGACTTTTTTGACTTGGAAATTATTTTTTAAGATTGACAAACATCATATGTGTAATTCGTGGCACAATTCAAACGGGATCGAAAGATAATCTTTCTGTCCCCATTGACTTCAATACATAATTTTTCCGAAATAAGGTTCCATGGGTCGGAAGTAGATGGGCGGGACTTCGCCTCTCTATGGTTACCCATTTGTAATCCCCCCCCCCCCAAACACACATGCAAATTCTCACTCTCAGCCATTAGACTACACTCACCCAGTGGCTGGTGGTGGAATGCATCTTTTACAAGAGTTGGTTGGCAAATGTGATTATTAAGAAGAAGAAAAACCTTACTCTGATTGGTCGGGAACATATGGGAGCATGTGTAGCTAACTTCTACCTGACATCAGAGGCTAGTGAATACAAAACAATTGAAAAAACAACTGGCGCAACTGCAACATGATTTGGCTATTTCTCTGCTCCATCTGACGATTTAGATTAATTTTCCCCAGAATAATTCAATAGAAGTTAAATTCCCCATTTGTTTGCCCTCCACTGTGGCCTGTAGCACGATCACTGACTGCTAATTTCCAATCCAAAATAGTTTTCAGTTTGAGCACAGTCTGTGTTTTTGTGATGAATACAGACACCCTGGATCATAAGCTTTTAAAACAGAATAACTGTGTTTTTCTGAACTTTGTTTCATCTGTTGTATTGTCATTATGACTCTGCAATCTTCCACCGAACAAGAGTACAATTGTTTGACCCTAACATGTACCTGGTCAGACAAGTCTTGATGTCCAATTCAGTAAAACTCTCGAGTGGGCCAGTTTTTGCTGAGCAGAAAGAAATGATTGCTGTCCGTGTCTCCAATTGCTTCGTAGAACCTGCTCTTCACAGACGAGAGTGAGAACTCCGAGATAAAAATCATAGACTTTGGTTTCGCTCGCCTCAAACCGCCAGACAATCAGCTCCTGAAGACGCCCTGCTTCACCCTGCACTACGCCGCGCCTGAGATCCTCAAGTACGACGGCTACGACGAGTCATGTGACCTGTGGAGTCTGGGGGTCATTCTGGTGAGTGCTGGGGGACATCAGAGCGGCTCAGGTTCAAACTAAATACGAATGATTATTCAACTCTGCGTTATCCTGAGGTCATCTAAGCCAGTATTGCAATTTCAGTTGTTTTTATGAATCAAATACCATGCCATTGTTGGACACAGTTTTTAAAGACTGAGTATTATGTGCTTGTCTTTTTTTCTTCTTATATTGGGTAACCTGAGAACTTGTGGCTCATACTATGAAATGAGGGTGAAAGAAAAAGAAAAGTTTGTTGGAGGAACTGATGGAAATTGGTGTAAAATTATAAATAAGTTGCAAAACATGCGCTATCTTTGGCATTACTGTAATCTTTAGTGGACTTAGGATGCTATGTTAGGGCATCACTATGTTAGGGCATCACTATGTTAGGGCATCACTATGTTAGGGTATCACTATGTTAGGGTATCACTATGTTAGGGCATCACTATGTTAGGGCATCACTATGTTAGGGCATCACTATGTTAGGGTATCACTTTGTTAGGGCATCACTATGTTAGGGCATCACTATGTTAGGGTATCACTATGTTAGGGTATCACTATGTTAGGGCATCACTATGTTAGGGCATCACTATGTTAGGGCCTCACTATGTTAGGGCCTCACTATGTTAGGGCCTCACTATGTTAGGGTATCACTATGTTAGGGCATCACTATGTTAGGGTATCACTTTGTTAGGGCATCACTATGTTAGGGTATCACTTTGTTAGGGCATCACTATGTTAGGGCCTCACTATGTTAGGGCCTCACTATGTTAGGGTATCACTATGTTAGGGCATCACTATGTTAGGGCATCACTATGTTAGGGTATCACTATGTTAGGGCCTCACTATGTTAGGGCCTCACTATGTTAGGGCCTCACTATGTTAGGGCATCACTATGTTAGGGCATCACTATGTTAGGGCATCACTATGTTAGGGCCTCACTATGTTAGGGCACCACTATGTTAGGGCACCACTATGTTAGGGCATCACTATGTTAGGGCCTCACTATGTTAGGGCCTCACTATGTTAGGGCCTCACTATGTTAGGGCCTCACTATGTTAGGGCCTCACTATGTTAGGGCATCACTATGTTAGGGCCTCACTATGTTAGGGCATCACTATGTTAGGGCCTCACTATGTTAGGGCCTCACTATGTTAGGGCATCACTATGTTAGGGCATCACTATGTTAGGGCATCACTATGTTAGGGCCTCACTATGGGATCTTTTTTTTCTCATGGTCAGTTTTATTAATGTCACATAATGAATACTGGCCTAATGGAAGAAATTCTTTAAATTAATTAAAGTAAACATTCAATAATGGCAGCATTTATCGTCACTATTGATGGTTCGCTTGAAAAACGTATCCACATCCTCAAACATTTACATGGAGGATTTGGATTCAACTTTTTAAATCGCTGAGTGTTTTTGAATTAATAATAAACATGATATAAATAATGTATAATTCAAGCAAAGTATGTTTACATTTTTGCCATTTAATATTTGATATAATGAGGCTTGTGGCACAGGTTCAAACCCCACTGCAGTCAGCATGTCGTTGTGTCCCTGGGTAAGACACTTCACCCCAAATTGCTCCTGTGGGGATTGTCCACAGTATTGAGTATGTAAGTCGCTTTGGATAAAAGCGTCTAACAAGTAACGCTAAAAGCTGCTAAGGATACCTTCTTCCCATATCCAAATCGTCCGGCAGTGGCTCAGTCAGTAGGGGCTTGGACTGTGAGCCGTAGGGTCGCCGGTTCAAGTCCCCGACCAGACCTAAATATGGAGTGTGGACTGCTACTTGGAGAGGTCCCAGTTCACCTCCTGCCCTGCCGTGGTGCCCTTGAGCAAGGCACCGGACACATTTCGATGTCATTGATGCTGTTTAATAAGGAATATAATTAAACAACAGATCATTGATGAACTCTATTCAGGAGCAACATTATGTGTTTACAAGTCCAGGCCTCCTTTAAACTATCACATTCTACAATTCTCTACAAAAATGACCCGATGATATAAATGTACAAAAAAAAAGTCAAAATCCACAGCTTCTCTTAATACTTTTTTTTCATCATAATGTTAATCAAATCATTTCTAAATCAGAGATGTTGTTCATGTTATCCAATAAATGGAGAAAACATTTGCTGCTGGCCATTCTGATTAAGCAATCAGCTGTTTTTCGTACTGATTTTGGTGTGCACATGTACAAATGCCTGTGTGTGCGTGTTCTCTTAAATCTCATTTGCTTGATATTCATCTCCTGCTCGTGTTCAGCGCTACAACCTCCAGCATCCTGTGGTGAGCTGACACACTTTAACGCTCACCACGAAAATGAAGAGAGCAAGCGGCACCGGCTCTCAGGCCGCACTAATACGAGGCGCTTTTCCCCGGTAGCGGAAATGTCATCCTAATTCAAGCTATTTCTGTGTAGTGGAGGACAATTAAAAGGAGAGGTAGGGAAGAGAAGCAGAGGGAGGAAGGGTGGAGAGAGAGATTTCTGTATTTGGCCACTCATCCGTTCTGAGTCCAGGCTCTCTGTAAGAGTGTTGCTTCACACAGACGCCCCCTGGGGGGAAATGGGAGTAGTGTGTGTCTGAAGATTGATGAAATGTCTCCTGACAAGCTGTGTGTACAATGCCCTGGAAGCAAAATGAGCAGACACAGAAACGAGGGGAGGGAGGGAGAAAGGGAGAAATCCTCCACTGCTAAAAGGGCTGTTCCCAACTACAGTCACCCTATTGAGAAATCTGAGGGTGAATATAAGCAGGCCAAGGTGAGAGGATACTTTTAATCCAGCTGAGCACACCGCGCTGTTTATTGCTGGGTAAACAACACGCAGCATGACCGTGGAATAATGCGGACAAAATGTCAGACAAAAAAAGCTATTTTTAAGATCCTAGACTTTTATAACAATCCCATTTTTCCCAATATCTATCCCCCTTCTGCTTTTGAGTCGAAGGGAAAAAGTTATTTTCTCCAATGAGCGGGTATGTTAATAAGGTCGAGATAGCAGGTATGTTCAAACACTATCTCCTAGTTAGGCATTTCTTGTGCCACGCAAACTTTTTAGATCTTTAGGTCTGTAAACTGTCCTCTTGCAGGGTGTCCGCGGGGTCTTAAAAAGTATTAAAAGTTGATCAATCAATTTAGCGAAAATTAAGGCTATTAAAAAGTATTAAAGGGCATTTTCCAAGGTATTACATTTTGTAGCTTGTTTTCAATAAGTATCTAAATTGTCCAAAGAGGTTGTATTCTACAGTCTGCCTGAATGTAATCATTGCGTAGGTGTGTAGTGTGATTCTGTGTAGTTTATTTATGGCATCCCGTTGGATTTGACGTCATCTGAACAGGACATCGCACGCTCACTGCTTGATAGCGCGCGAAGGTCCGTTTACGCCGGTTGTTAAACAACATCGTTATGGGGAAATGCAAGTTTGCGTCCAAATGGTTGGAAGATAAGGAGGAAGGACAATCAATACTGTATATAGTAAATGTGAGGTAACGTGTGACTGGTTCAAACTCAAAGTGGCGATGAGGTCTTAAAATGTATGGAAAGGGTCTTAAAAAAGGTCTTAAAAGGTATTACATTTGACTTCAGGATTCCTGCATATACTCTGTCTTGGTGTTCTGACTGTTGTTCCCTCTGTCTGCAGTACACCATGCTGTCCGGCCAGGTGCCTTTCCAGTGTCAGGAGAAGAGCCTGACCCACACCAGTGCTGAGGAGATCATGAAGAAAATCAAACTGGGAGACTTCTCCTTCGAAGGCGAGGCCTGGAGGAATGTGTCCCAGCAGGCCAAGGACCTAATCCAAGGTGAGGGGGACACCGGGGGCTTGTCTTAAATCCAATGTGTCGACATATGCAAGAAGTTTATTTTCATAACACGAGAGCTCCGATGTTATGTCACCTTGAGACTGTGGATTAAATCACATATTTTTGTGATTTTAATCCAGTTTTAAGAAAATAAAAATTGTAACGCATGTGAAATCAACCACCATTTATAAAAACAGTGCAATTGATAATAATGCTGAAAAATTGATTATAAGATTACATTTAAAAATATAATAATAGTTAGTATAATAATATAATATATAGTATAATAAGAATTCTAGTTGAATGTTCAGTATAAATAAATGCAAAACTGACTTAACCAGATGGTTGAATTATTGCTCAAAATATTGTACTGTGAAGTAAATACTTTACAGTTGAAGATACATAAACTGAAATGTAGGGTTTAGCTGCTGACGTGTATAAGTACAAGTTTTAGTGACAAGAAGTTAAGGTTTCAGAAGAAAAAAAAATGTAATGTAATTTAAAAATACAGAAATAGTGTAAATTAAAAATAATTAGGACAACATAGGAACATGTCTGATGCCCTTTCCCCTATTTACAGAATACAACACAGTTCAGATGTGATCTCACTTGTTACAAGGACTAAAATAAACAGTGTGACGTGTGTGGTGGTTTCATATCATTTCTAATGGAAGATAAAGGCCTCCTTTACTCAAATGTGAATGAATCTTTCCAGCATTAAAAAAAAACATAAGAAATCTAGATTAAGTTGTTATTTAAAGAGTCAGTGTCTATTTTGAGTGACAACATGTCCCAAAATATTGTCCGTTTTCAATCTTGTTGGCAGCAGCACCCTTTTGTTGATGTCCGCGTCACAGATTGAACTTGTAACCCTCAAAGTAGCTCAGAGTGACTGAGCCTCCTGAGAAGGAAGTCACCTCCTCTCCTGAGTATTTAGAGCAGCAGGTCATTATCCGTGTCTCGTTCCTGCAGAGCTGCTGACGGTGGACCCAAACAAGAGGATTAAGATGTGCGGCCTGCGCTACAACGCCTGGCTGCAGGACGACAGCCAGCTGTCCTCAAACCCTCTCATGACCCCCGACATCCTCGGCTCCTCCACTGCCTCCGTCCACACCTACGTCAAAGCTACCTTCCATGTAAGAAATGACCTGCAGTGTGTGTGCTTGTTTTAGATGTAGGTCGGGAACTCTGGGCTTCCTGTTGAAACATTTGGGTTGTATTGATCCGTTGTTTTCAACCTGCAGCTCAATCATCCAAAGTAAAACAGGCATTTTGAAAGGGAAAATAAATACATTGAAATGAATTGAAAATCTGAATTCCTTTATTCGTCCCACAGAGGAGAAATTTACATTTAAAATAGTCATTAGTTCCCTAGTTTAACGAAGGGATTTGGTTTAGGATTGAATCTTAGAAAACCCCCTTTTCATTGGTAACGCATTTGATAAAGCAACATTTTGGAAAATATGTGATCTACCAAATCTGATATATTCTTTCAGTATCAACCCTGATGCTTACTATTAAATCCAATGCTAAAGGGTTAGCATTGAATAGCAGCAGAAACCCTGAGTTGAAGTATAAGAATCAGTGCATCCCTTGTAAAATGAATAATTCAGATAAAATCTCAACAACTTGCTCAACGATCCCATTTATTTTTATTTTGTTCCAGGCATTTAACAAATGTAAGCGTGAAGGTTTCCGCCTGCAGACGGTGGACAAAGCGCCGCTAGCCAAGAGGAGGAAGATGAAGAAGACCAGTACCAGCACGGAGACCCGCAGCAGCTCCAGTGAGAGCACGCAATCCTCGTCCTCCTCCTCCCAGTCTCTGGAGAAGAGTTTTCCAGAGGGCAGCTCCAAGCCGCAGCCCTGCAGCAGCACCCCCCTCACCACGCCCGCCGACGACACCCCCGCGGCCCTGGGGACGGACTCTGAGCACCAAGCAGAGCATCCAGCCTTCCACTTCTCAGAGGGACAGTGAGACAGGAACAGTTGAGATTCAGACGGTTTCAGGACCTGCAGGATGGCTCGGACCAGCTCCTTTATCTTTCTCTCCGTCCCTGGCAGCCCTCCGATTGCATGGACGTCCACACGTCTCCACACCAAGCATGCAGCAGGAGCAGCGACCCTCTCCTCAGTCTCAATCAATCATCACTAGCAATAGCCTCTTTTCTCTCACGTTGACTGTGTCGATCAGGGACCGGACCAGGAAGAGGTCGCCACCAGGGTCCAAAATGTCAAACACTGCCCTACTGCCCCAGGTCCAGACAGACGATAGAAAGTCCGCAAGCTCGCTCTCCGTCCGCTCCATTCACCCGTGTCTGTCCTCGCCTCCTGAGGTTTTTAAAGGGAAAGTCGTCGTGTTTACACCACGGATGCTTCGTGTTTATGTTTTGTCTAAAGGGAGAGAAGAAACGCAGCGTAGAGAAACGTCCACGTTCACTTCTCTGATCCGGGAAGTCTGCAACGCGAAGCAGAGTATTTATATGTGAATTTTACAGACTGAGATTTATTTATGATAAGCTATATTGCTAACTTATTCATGGTTCAGACCTGATCTGAAAAGAAATAAGGGATACAGTGAGTCCTTTAACGTGTGTGTGTGTGTGTGTGTGTTTTATCAGCTCAAAAGACTGTTTCTATGTGGTCAGATGGTTGTTCATTCATCTATGTAGTCGTCATTAATGCTTCGAGTAGGTTACTGAGACACAGCTAAGTAGACATTGTAAGACTATTATGGGAAAGAAAAGACGGCTATGAGAAAGTTATGCAAGTTCTTTGGACTGCAGTTGTGTCAAAGTAGATTTAAAAAAAAGTAATGTCCTTGTTCATAAGGACTAAAGAAGCAAACCATTTTTAATAGGAACAACCAAATGTGGATGTAGTTTGTTCAGCCAAATGTCTTTTATTGTTGTATGAGGGAGTGCAGCCGCCTGAGGGAAGGTCACCCTACATGGAGAGCTATTTTAGACAGATGTTTGCCTCTGATGTTGGAGTGTGACTACGTCCAGACTCAGCAGTGCTGTTGTTCCACACGGTCTGATCCTCAAGGCAGTATTTAGCCCGGCACTGGATGTGCTTCTTATAACTACAACCAATTGGATTGAGCAGAACATCCCAATTGGAAAGTTCTGATCAGCTTAGTGCGAGGTGAAGGAGTCGAGGCGGTTGTGGTGATGCCAAATGTGCAGCATCAAGTGGCTTCTTTGTCAGATAAAAAAAAAGATCACATTATTGGAGAATGAAAGGGTTTATGTGCCAAAAAAGGCTGGTGGTACATTCTGACTTTTAATGCAATCTAGTGCAAACGTTGCCCATTGTGTCGTTCCCCAAAGTCTTAAAACTTCTACAAACGATCTTCCCTTTATGAAAAACATCAAGTCCCCCGCCCCTTGCTCTATTTACCATGTTGTACTGCATGACTGAAACGGTGATCTTTGCACTATGTGACAGCTCTCACTTTGAGGCAGATATCTGGTTAGTATGAAATCCCCCGTGCATGATGTAAACTGAAACATCAACCTCTTCCTTCTCTTTCTTTAATGGGCTTTTTCGGGCAGATTCTCACTTGATTTAATGTGAGTTTGTTTACTTGCACATTTGAATATGCCCACATGTATGGGGGAGTTTGACTGTTTTCCTGGTGTTTGGATGAAAACACCAAGAACCCTTTTTACAATAGCCTGAATATTTTAATGTCCCGATGTTACAACTCTGGTGTAAACCAGGAGAGCTCGGCGAGTGAACGCCACGCTCTGGTAAATGTTTTTTGAAAAAGTATGTGTTAGTCTGTTTTCAAGGTAATAGTTGAAATACTGTATTCTGTTCATGTCCTGGGTCTCTGTGTTCAGTATGTGAAGCTGCCTCAAACAGCTTCTCGTGCTCAACGAGGACGCAGTGGGACTACTGTGTGCATTCACACACTCCCTCATCTTCTTCCATTTGAATGCACTCTGAATCCGAACCAAAGCATTAACTTCAAGGTAGCTGCTCTAAGCTGCATGAGAAATATCCTTTCATGCATATATGCAAAGAAATGCTTCTTATATTTATGTCACAGTTTCTGTTTGTCTGACTGTTGACAAAAGCTCCATCTCTGAAACTTTTTACGTGTTTCATCAGAGATCCTTTATAGGACCTAAAAAGACCACATCCAGCACATTATCATGCTTTAAAACTATGCATCTTTTTTCACTGTTGTGTTGCTTTGCCATTTCAAACTCACTTCTCAATGTACTTTTACCCTCATCAGCCACAGTGGAAATAGCAGAGTTGTATCCGCGGCCGGTACAACAAGCTGGCATCCTTGAAGCTGAACGCTACGAAGCTCTTGTCTTACTTAGTTCGCATGAGTTCCCTGTTGCTGCCTCATTAAGCCTCTTTTCCTTTGTTTGGGTGTATTAATAGCTCAAGTGGAGGCAGAGGAAAAGTGTCCTATATGGAGCTCCCCTCTGGGAGCCAGGCTCTATTAGCTGAAGCAGTGCTGTTTGTTCCAAAGATATGCCGTGCTCCACACGCTGTGGGACCAGCGCTCTCTTTTTGTAGGGAAAAGAACCGTGTATCACAGGAACGGCTTGGTTTAGTACCAACGTCTCCCGGGGCAGATTTTTAAAACTAGGTTTCCCCTCTTTGATGAACAACTCGTTCAGCGTGCCTCTGTGAAGCAGAGCCGAGGGAGGGGGGCCGGTCTGATTGGACGTCCTGTTGTCTTTGATGCACTTTTGTTTATTGGTTCCCTGGAAATTGACTGAAAGCTACTTTTCCTGAGCACAGTGCTTCCTCTTTTTTTAGCTTTTCTTGGAGTTAAATCCTGAACCAAACCTTTGTAGCGCTTTGCAACATGAATTAGAGGGCTGGTACTTTGAAGTGTTTTGTATAAAGCCGTGACTGCTGTTGTGCATTTTAGAGTCGAAGGATTGGACGGTTCCTGTGAGCGTCTGTCAGTGGAGTTGTGTCGTGATTAAGAGACCAATGTGTGTGCCAAAGCTGAAAGTCTCATCTTGGAGAACACGGCTTTGTGCTTTTTTGTGTGCATGTTTTTCCTGTAAAAGTGGTCATTTTTAGACGGATGCTAAGACATTGTGGCTCTTTTTTGTCCGTTTTTACTATGGAATCTGTCCGTGGTGCTGAAGTGACCAAACCTCTGCTGGAGCTGCAGAAATGACCCGTCGTAATATGACCATTCAAAGCAGTGGTTTCCAACATGGAGACCCCAAGCATTAAATGTACATTTATGTCAAAACACATTTATTAAGACTTTCTTACAGGGAAGATCCACTCGTTGTACACATATACATCTCTTAACATGTCCTAGAGAGAATTTGGAAAACACATTGTTTAAAGCCTGTTATGGAAAAAGTCATGTCACTTTTTTTGGTTTGGACTGATGACTGAAGTTTAAACATCTGGCACCAAAGATCTGGAGGTGTAGAGTTACAATGAGCTTTCCAGATAAGACACAATGTTCACATTTCGGTCAATAGTGTTTAATAACATCTAAGTTAACTTTTAAAAGGTTGGGAAACACTGCTTTGAAGGGTCAGCTTCACTCAAATGACAGTTTTTATAGGATTTGTTGTGTGAAACAAAGCAATTGTTATGAATATGTCCACACTACGAGGTGTGGATTATACACATTACATCTGAAAATAAAATATTTAGTTTTTATTTTAAATTGTTCAGTGCTGAGAGCATCCCAAACATAGAAATATCACAACCATTGTCATATAAAACATAAGCTATAGCACTTGTACTATAAAATACTGGATGTATTTATGGAATTTGGGTGAACTGACCCTTAAATGATCCATTTTTGGGAGAAGATGTTTTACTGTCAGATGAGAGAACTGTCAGCTCGACATTTGGACGTGTGTTTTTGAATTCATTGAGTTGACTCGGTGCTCTAATGTTGACTGAGATTATTGAAAAGTATTCAGTTTGTTTCAATGAGGGAAACACAATTGTTAGAGATGTCATTCAGGGCCTGTGCCAACCTGCCACTTTAGGCATCATCATCATCATCCTCCTCTTCATCACCATCATGCATGCGCTGCTGCTCAGTTCCTGTCCATATTTCTCACGTTTCATCTCTTCTTGTCATATCGTTACTGAGCGTGTCAAAAAGTACTGTAGCAGTGATTCCCTTTGGTCGATATTGAAATGTTTCCAAACACGCAATCAAGCTTTAAAGGCAAAACTTTGCACTTGTATGTTATTTTTTTTTTTTTTATCATGCAATTAATTATTACTATGATTCTTTTGTTGTTTTAAAAAAAAGAAAGAGAGAAAATGTCCTCTTTGATTTTGTGCAGGTAAAAAAAGCGTTAACTTATTCATCCGTCTGTTTCTGCTCCTACATTTCTGAGATGATACTTTGACATGAACCTCAACACCGAATAGTACTTTTACTGCAGTGAATACACACCGTGTGCATATCTGCTTTTTTAGGGCACTGTGAACATCATCCAGGTCTCTGGCACACCATCGATGAGGAAAGAAACCTTGATTTGCTTCAATAAAGGCTTTACTTAGTGGCTGAATATGTACATTTAATAACCTGAAACCAGTCATGGAGGGTCTTTCAATGGACTCTTGCTTCATTGTATTTTTAAAGTGTATTACTGGAGATATTTTCGAATACCAAGACGTGTGTGTGTACTAGACTTAAAGGTGGGGTATGTAATTTATTTCAGAAACACTTTTTGTTATATTCCATGGAATGCTCTTAACATCCCGATAGCAATGAATATCTTAAGTGCTTTGACAATAAATACATAAAAAAAATGTAATCTGTGTAAGCCGTAGTACTGTAAAAAGCACGACCAATCATTTTAGCCGGCCCGGCTAAAATAACTGGATGGCCTACCTGCCTGTCAGCCTTCCATCTGTGCACAAACTTATCTCGTGCCCTCATTGGTCATGTGCGCGTTCGTGTGTGTTGGAGGAGGGGCTCTGTAAGGAAGTGGCAGATTTTTTCCGGTTGTGTATTTTCAAATTCTAGCGCACTCGAGCTGGTTTCTCCAAAATTACCTACCCCACCTTTAAGGACAATAAATGTGCGTTTTCCTGTTCATTTATTGATCTTGACTAATAACTTAGATTTAGGGTTAATTATCTTTTTATATTTAAATTTAAACGGCATTTTAGGAGTCATGGCAACTTTATTTCGGCCTCTAGATGGCAGTGTTTGATAAAGTGCCAGGAACAGTTTCAGCATGAACTCCTTTCAGCCTTTCTTCATAGATGAGTAACATTTTAGATTGTGTTAAATGAGCTTCAAAACTAAAATATGACTTTCATGTTGTCTAGCAGGACCAGAGATGTATGTCTTATGTACATTTATTGCATATTTATAACCAAATTAAGATTTGTGTCTCTAAAAAGTGAACTGTAAGTACTGTAAATGTCCAGTTTTATTATTTGTGTGCTCTGATTAAAACGGTTATATGCAGTGAAGCTGAAAAAAAAAAAAAAGATTTTAAGATGCAACCATATTTAATATTGTATGACAAATAAACATGTGAGCCTTTGAGGAGGATCTGAATGGACTCTGGGAATATGGGAAATAAAGGAATGATTGACAATGGGTAAAGTCATGATAAATGAGCATCGTTTGTTATTTCTGTTAAGTGGCAAATCTGTGATTAAATGTGTAAAAAGTGAAGGGCTTTAGGTCTTTGAGTCCTTACCTATTATTACACTTACCCATGTTACATATTGCAATGAAAAATATTTTAACATAACATTGTCAATTATAAATCGTCAAATTGTTTGACCTATAAAAATATCAGAAAAGAATCTAAAAACCAAAACTGCAATAGTCATATTTTATATTTTGCCCAAAACTCAAAGTTTTTAATATCATTGTAAAAAAAGATACTTACCAAATATTAGGGGATTACACATGAGAAACTTAAACCAGTGAATCTTTTGCTAAAGATATATAATGAAAAGATTATTGAAGTAGTTGCTAATTGCTTTTCTGTATCAATATGTCTTAATTACTGCATCTCTTTCCTCCAAAGTTGTAAAGGTTCAAGTTGTCTTCGCTGTGGTGTAATACCGTCCTCTGACAGCAGAGGGCGCTCTCTGGCTCTCAATCAGCTGCTCCTGAGAAAAGGATCTGCTCTTTGAAAAAAAGTTACAAATCAAAACCAGAGGTGGGAAAAGTACTCAGACTTTGTACTTAAGTAAAAGTAGAAGTACCAGAGTGTAGGAATACTTTGTTACAAGTAAAGGTCCTGCATTCAAAATGTTACTCAATTAAAACTACAAAAGTATCAGGATCAAAATATAGTTAAAGTACCAAAAGTTAAAGTATTCATTATACAGATTGGTCCATTTCAGAATAATATATATGATATGTTTGATCGTTATTGATCATTAAAGTGTTATCAAAGCTGGTAAAGGTGCAACTAGTTTGAATGACTTATATAGCTTGTGAATTTACTCCAGGTGGAACTAAAGTCTGATTTAAGACTTGATTATATTTCACTTCATAAAAGTACACCATTCACCTCTGAATTGTAGTGGAGTACACTACAAAGTAACAAAAAAAGTACCTCAAATTGTACTTAAGTACAGTACTTGAGTAAATCTACTTGGTTACTTTACACCACTGTCAAAACTCGTTGTGTTAAACAGGTAAACACACAAGAGGGAAACTCCACTACAGTTTTTTTTAGGTGACAAATATCAGAATATACTCCTAATAACAGTAACTTGTCACCTGAGAGTCTAAATAAAGGCATTAGAAAGGTCAAAGGTCGTAAGTGTGCAGAGAAATATCTTGATGTCCTGAATCCTGAATTTCTGTTGTATACCTTAAAACACAAGAAATATCGTTTTAAAGAAGGTATCCATTCAATGATTAAATTGTATTCCTGTCTTTTGAATTCAATCTGATTGTATTACATGCTATAAGGATACAAATTTGATATATAATTTAACTTTTCATGTTCAGTTGGAAGGTTTGTAAGTCATGCTTATGCCTTCTCTGTGTTTCTTTTCAGCTTTCTTTCTTTATCATAATGTCACTTAATTCTGCGGGACACAACCAGCTTGATATTGCAGGCTACTACTTCTACAAAGTATTTAAAAGCAAAGCTGATTTTTCTTTATGCATGCGGCTTTCAGTCCACTTATTGTGGTTTCACCCCGCTTGCTACTACATCCAACAATACAGGCGGTGCACTCACAGAGCAATTTCCCCCCCCGCAAATTTTGCAATGCGGATGTCAATATGGACGTTCAGCAGGAGAAACTCATTACACTGTGTGTGTGTGTGTGTGTGTGTGTGTGTGTGTGTGTGTGTGTGTGTGTGTGTGTGTGTGTGTGTGTGTGTGTGTGTGTGTGTGTGTGTGTGTGTGTGTGTGTGTGTGTGTGTGTGTGTGTGTGTGTGTGTGTGTGTGATATATCTATTTTCTTTGAAATATGCCTGCACTTAAATACTATCCATTACTAAACAATGTGGGTTATAATGTGGTCAATAATTCAGATGCACTCTAAAATCCATCATGGAGATTTTTAGAGGAAGACCATAGGCTACAAGAAAGACTAAAATACACCCAGAAAGACAAACAGTTTTAAATTCTCTTACACAAGATTAAAAAGGAAGCCTATATAAGATGAGGACAGTGGATTGCCTTTTCTCTTGTGTGCCTTGACACATACAGTAGACTTGACTTTTGTCTTACAAAGAAGGGCTGATGCAGTTTTGAAATGCAGGGAATAACACATTTTGCAATAAAGTCAAGACAATACCTTTGTTGTGCTGCGGAGCATAATTCTGCCTTTTATACAAAACCCTTTTTTGTCACGCTTCAAAGCACTCTGTAAACAACCTGTTCATGTTTGTTCTTGTTCATGTCAACATGTACAGTTGTCCCCTGTGTTTTCAAAAATCTCTCCTCCCTCAATTTCTGTTTGCTCATTTTATTACCACGGGATTTTTGTATAAAATGACCTTATGGCTCCCAAAAAGTGCACTTTACTTGCACTACATTCCTTTGAGCTACTATACAAAAGAAGTAAAACACATGTATAGAACTGATAAATATTGAGGTATGATATATCAGTAAAAGTAAAGAAACTCAGCAGTAACATTAATATTATCATCTTTATTTGTTAAATTATTTCCATTGTTACAAGCTGAAAGACGTAAGGGATTTTTACATTAATGCATCACAAATTATAATACAATAAAATAATTACTCTCCGACCACTGACCGGTTTTGCAAATGGAGCAATATTGGAAAAAATTAATTAATTTCATGTCTCGTTTCTGACGTGTTTTTTGTTGTAGTATTTGGAATAGGCCATGCATTTTTCGTAAATCAATTATTTCTCTTTTACATTCTTTTTGATTTCAAGTATTGTGCTTTGCTTCACTTCAGGTCCATTTCAATTGTTAAATAAACTGTTAACGAGGAAAACACTAAAAGAAGAAGCTGCTAGTCTGTTTTAAATATGACGTCATGGTTTAGGTCCACACGGGGGCCGGACCTGCCGCGCTGTGTGAACGTGAAAAAAAGCACAATAGTGCAGCAATTAAGACCGAAATCACTACTGTGTGATGTTAAATCAGCCTGATTCAAATAAGGTTAAAAAAGGAAGTTGCATCGACTATAATTAAACACTGAATTAGTGCACCCCCCTGGGAGCAGCTGAGTGACCCAAATAAACACTGATTTAACCACAGGGTCTCTTAGCTAGCATGCTAACTCTCGTAGGATCCTCCATCACTGACTTCTGAGGAACTTCTGCCTTTAGTGAGGCCTTCCCACTGTTTTGACAATAATCCGTGATGAAATGGAGGAGGCACTGGGACTAAAGTGGCTGAGTGGATTGGAGATATTCTGCTTTGGGAATAAACGAGGATAATGGTTTTAGCAGATGGAGGAGGACTTCACAAGACAGGTGAGGACAACAACACACTCACCTCACTGATATATGTAGCTAAACAACTACACAGCTTTCCTATCATGTGTCAAACTGCATCTAATGTGCAGATTATATTGTATTTTCATCTGTGTTGTCTGCCTTGGAGATGTTATGTTTATGCCATGCTACTGTTTTTGAAGTTATTTAATTTATTTGGTTTTCTAATGCTTGTTGCACTCAGTGTTGTGTCCTTCTGGGTAACTCCTTTAACAATCATACAGAGAAAGGTTGTTGTTTTTTCATAGTTCATGATCACTGTACAGGATGCAAATGTCTAAGGAAGTGGATTCATTGTTGGGTTGGACACAAGGACTCATGTTGTTGTTCTGCTAGTTTTGGTGTAGTTGTAGTAGATGTTATGTACTTTTCATAGTGTACCTATTTTCAAAAGTTATATTATAAAACATCCTCATCATCATATATATTTCAGTATGCCTACATGTTTACACAAGTCATTGTACTTGAGTTATTTGAGTATGTTGTAGTACTACCATCTCTGGTTTAAAGAGTCTGTACACCAAACTTAGAAGACCCTTTTTATAGTCCTGGCTTTGTGCATAATAATGTTCAAACAGGAAAAAGTTGCCCCAAATTCTCCAAACCTTAACCACAAAGACTATATCTTACTTTTGAAAGTTGAATTAGATTTGAAAAACGATTTACTGGTGTGGCTAATGTCAGCTGCTGGCTTTATGACATTTTCCCTTTTTAATTTATTCATTTTTTTAACATTTTAGCGACCACCATGTTCCTCTAACACTGTATCACTGGGGCAAAAGTTACATGGGAAGGTAGTTTTGCTGTTAGTCATAGGAAAAGGAAAAGGGTCATTTT